GGTCCAATACCTTCTGCCCAACCCTAGATGCTCCTACTATCCCTTCTGTAGCCTGGTCGCGTAGTACTTACCATGGGTACAAATCAGTTGATGCGTCAACAGTAGATCGACCCTTTTGAGGTAGATCGCGTGTCTGAATGATTGCACCATGTCGATCTACTCCGTTGATTACGCAATCTTCATTGGATGATGACGTAATCACTTTGACGCGCCGTCGTCGGCCATGAATCTCAATACTGGATCGGGTCGCATCCCATCAATCAGTCCCTTGTTCCCAAAAGCCAACTGTCACTTCACCGCACAGGTGATATAATTTGCGTTTTGTCTAGACATTTTCTTTTCTGGTACCTTTCACCGAGATGCATCTCCAGCAACCGAGCCGAGGAGTGTAAAGCTACCCCAAATTCGCAGCTCTATGTCAGAGTACTAAAAGCCAGACCACACGAATCACTGGTTCTGGGATGAGACAACTTTGCAAGCGCATGTTGAGACGCAAACACGTGAAAGCGATGTACCACAAATACTTTGTGTTTTTTTTTCGCAACCCACGAAGATATAAATGAAAACGTACTATGTGCAGCTTCCGCTGACCCCGCAGAGGACCGACACGTTGAATTAGTTGACTGTACGACTCCTGCTTCTGCTCACGACCAAAACACCAATGACTACGACCAAGTTGCTGCTGCTAACGACCGAGATAATGCTACCCACTACCGACGGTTGACGATGCAGGTATACACCAATCCCATTGGTCACAATCAAATCGCTTCTGTAACTGCCACAAATCACCGCAATACCGCTGACCACGACCGAGTTGCTCCTACAGTTGGCCGCCGTCAAGATATCATTGGCCAACACCAAATTGGTGCTGTTGCAGCTCGCCAAATTCTATGTGTCAACACTAAATCCCTGCTACTAATGACCGAGCTTCAGGTGGCTCGTGTCAATACATCTGCTACTCGTAGCAGCGGGGGCTGTTGACGTTGGTGCGGATAGCTCCTCGTCGGGACGTACTGACGAGGAATATGATCGACGATGAAGCTCAAAGTGATGACGAACACACCGACAATGCAATTATCGACCTATCTGATAGTGAATACGAAGGCAGAATTGGCGATCCGGACTATGACGAATCTGAAATTCAGGTCGTTGATGCTGACTGGACTCAACGATCCCGCTAGCTTGGGTTTGAAGTGATTACCGTCGAAATGGTGATAACAGGTGTCGTGACGAGCAAGCTGCTGATATTACCTAGTCGATTCGCTTAAATATACCACTACAAACTAGTATAAACTCGGAATCATCGTGCACAATGTGCATGTAAAAGCAATCTCACGAGCTTCATTCCATATTAAGTTATTCGATAGCAAACCACTGAGGTTGTTCCGAGCTTTGTATGTAATGGGTCGCAACCTGAGTTGCAATACAAAAAGGTAAGATATTTGTGACCTACTAGCGATACATACCGTACCCATTAGGTTTATAGCGTGGCCATATCCATTTTAGCATAATCATCTCAAATCATGCTAGATTATGTTACTAAAAACAATGCGTTAAACCTTGTGGTAATCCAAACGGTCCTATCGCATAAACAACTGCTTCCGCTTCGTGCTGCCGCTAGCGGTTTGACGCTGGGCTGTCGTCTTTGCTGTGCTACATGAACACCGCGAATAGTCGCACTTTGCGCACGCTCGGGTGACGGCCAAATTGGTCTTCGACGGCGGGTCATTATCTGGCACGACCGCCGGTTGCTCCGCTGCACCTAGTGGGGAAGAACAGGATCAGTAGCCTAAAAGCAGTTGCGAAGAGAGTAGCGAGGGTAGGCGTCCTGACGGTGCCATTTTTATCGCCGTCGTCATCTCCAAGGAACACACAACCGTCTCAGCTGTCCCGCAATCCCAACGCCCCTCAGGCTGACCGAGGAGCATCCATGCTTTCTTCACGTGAACCACGTCGCCTTGCTCAATACTTTACCTGTTCCTCGGAGATGCCCAAGCCATGCACCCTGCAACCGCCGTAAGAAAACTGTTTTCCGCATAACAACTCCTTCCCCGTGGCTCGTCCTGCATTGGGGACTCGCGGCGGAAGACCTTCGACGCTGTTGGCATAAAATAAGTAACGAGGAGACGGACGCACGAGAGCGCTTAAATAAACCCGTTTGCAAGCCTCTTACCGAAACTATACTATAGAATGCTAAGCCATTTGTTTCTAAAAAGGCTATCTTCCCTTTTACAAATTCAGAGTGTTGAGTTAAGACTATCTCTTATAACAGATCATTAAAGCTTGTACGATGATGATGATGATGCTGATGTTGAAGCAATCTGATACATGCCTATCTCCTACATATAGTGTGACGAGATGATTATGAATTGTGCCATATTTGCTTTGTCGGACAAGACGGTCCAGGGGTTGTTGAGCTATTGTAAATGAATGAAAGCACCGCTTGTTTAGAGGCCGATCCCTACTACTCCTTTTGCAAACCTTTACCAAAAAAGCGACCTTCGGCGACAGAACTTTCACAAGTGTAAAAAAAAATAACCGAATACATTTCATTTTTGTTATTCCATTTTAGTAAAAACAAACATGTTACATGTTGATATATAGTATTGCTATGGAATCGAAACATTTCCGCTGAAGCGGGCTTATTATATACATTATGCAGTACCCTGATAGCTCCGCCCTTTCCGTTGTTTTCTTTCCCGCAGTGCATCATGTGTCAGACTTACGTTTTTACGCTACGGCTGTATTACCTTGCGCATTGTTTCCGGTGACATGTGCTCATTTGGGATAATATCGTAGAACGTGTTGTTGAAATATTGAGAATCAGGACGAATTAAGCACAATTTTGCTCCGTATCTCGCCTCAAGTTGCTGATTGTCCCACCTGACCCCCTTTTGTATTCTCCGTCCAAACTTCAATCGCGGGCTTTAAACCTCGAGCAAGACAGTAGGCAACAGGCTCTCCCAATGGCTCCGACTGTGAACCCGGCTGTCGAGCATACTAGGACGAGCTCAAATCGCCCACCAATAAGCAAGCTAACTGCCGTGTGAATAGCACGAAG